TTGTGGCCCTCATTATTTTAACTAAAGGATACATTTTTTTTTATTGGACCCTCGATTGTCTCATTTTATGACCTCTAAAGTTTCCATTTCCTTATTTAAACCCCTACCTTTTTTTAATTAACCTAAACTAATTATTTCAATTATTTTTTCTTTTCCATTTTCCATTTTTCTTTTCCTTTTCATTCTCATTTTGTTTTGGTATTTTGTAAAAATAATAAAAATAAAAGTAAAAGTAATAAGGAAAACAATTTGGATGATAACAACTTTCATCATTTCTCTTCTTTGATCAACCTAAGAGTTTTCTAAATTAGTCATTTTTTTTAAAGGAGATTAACTTTTATTAGTATAGGCAAATTAGCCTTTGAGATGAAGAAAGACCATCTTTTATATATCTCATAAAAGTTTTATCTCTTTTTGTCTTGCTTTGAGCCTTGATGATTTCTTTCACAATAACCTAAACTAGGATCATCCATCACATTGGGAGTTAGAATACAAAGTCATAAATCATCATTGAAACTCTTAAAAATTTATATCAAAAGAATCCCATTGATGATTCTAAAAATAAAAAAGAACGTAAAAAAAAAAAAGCAAAGGAAAATGATAATAATAAAACCATTCATAATGCAAAATTTTAATTCAACATAGGAGTCAAAATTTAAACAAATAGACAATGAGAGTTGAGAATAAGAAACAAAGTCGGTAATTAAAATGACAAAGTCACTTCAATAAACCTAGAAAGAAAAACTTTCTCATGAATGTCAAGATGACACAAAACCCGGACCAAAGGCTAAAGTGATAAAATCTAGACAATATTGCTTAAAGAGATTTTTGTAGATAACAAAGTGATCCTACATTACAAGACCCTTAAACACTTTTGAGTTTTTATGTATCCAATTTTCAAGAGCCTAAGCCATAGCCTACATTACGTGCTTCTACAAGCCCTTTTTGATCAAGAATATTTTACTTATACTAATGAATTTTAATCTCAAAAGAAAAAGAGAAATTAAAAAAAAAGAGAAAGAAGAAAAAAAAAAAGACTAATCAATATGCTATTTTTCATATTTTAGGATATCAAATCATAAGGTTTCATCAACTAACTTTGGGGTAAGAAAAAATAGAATCAAGATGTTCTCAAGTAAGATTATCCTTTAGAACTTAGTTTTTTTCAAAATACTTTCTATTCAAGTCTTGCCATTTCATTTGACCATTTACCTTTGAGAGCATCAAAAACCAGTTTTCATAGAAATCTTGCATGACCTAAATGCATTTTTCCTGTCTAGCTTTGGAAGAAATTACACCATAGCATTTGAATGTCATATTTTGACTTTTGATCAATTAACTTGAATATCCCGATGAATAAAGTACTTTCATTAGAATATCTCAACATTTCTTACAAATGATCAGAATTGTATATAAGAGAATTATTCAAATCCACGGTTTAATTCGTAAAAACTAAATGTCTATTATCTTTATGAAAAGTTGACAAAAATTTCAAGACTAACTTGCATATTGAGATGCAAGCATTAAAAAAATAAGCATCTAAACACAAGTAGTGATTTTATTGAGAGAGCTACAAATGTATAATCTCAACTAGTACTTGGGACATCTCATGACCTAATTTGAATGGTAATTCACAAAATTAAAAATACTTAGGAGGCAAGGCTAAGGATCTAACCATTCGAACCAAACTCTATAATTTGTTAAACAATGACATCATAAAGTCGAGTTGATGTGATGAGGGCTTAAACTTAGTCAAAATAGTAGAAGCATCTAAACTAAGAGGTAGTGGGGCTATCTTAATCAAACTAAAAACCTATAATCTAGTACATTTCAGATTAACCTTTGTTAGTAGCTAATCGATAAAAGAAAAGTGAAGAAATTAACCATAGCAATCAATTTCATTGATGTATTATAGGAATATATCTCATCAACTCACCTAGAGGGATTCATATATCTTTTTTTATTAGATCACCTCTCAAAAGTTCATTTTTTTCAATCTCATTGTCATAAAGAAAAAGATCACCCGGAGCGATTTGTATATCTTTTTTTATCGGATCACTTGTCAAAAGTTCATTTCCTCAATCTCATTTTCAAAAAGAAAAAGATCACTTAAAACAATTCATATATCTTTTTCGATCGAATCACTTGTCAAAGGTTTGTTTCTCTATTCTTTTGTTTCTTAAGAGAACAATCACCCAAAGTGATTCGGATATCTTTTTTTATTGGATCACCTATCAAAAGTTCATTTCTCTTATCTCATTTTTCAAAAAGAAAAAATCATCAAAAGCGATTCGTATATCTTTTTTGATCAAATCACCTATCAAAGATTCATTTCCTAGATTCATTTTTTTTTAAAAAAGATCATCCAAAGTCATTCGTAAATCTTTTTTGATCGAATTCCTTGTTTAAGGGTCATTTCTCCAATCTTGTTTTTCAAAAAGAAAAAGGTCACATATAGCGATTCATATATCTTTTTCGATCGGATCACCTATCAAAGGTTTGTTTCTCCGATCTTATTTTTCAAAAAGAAAAAGATCATTCTAAGTAGTTCGTATATAATTTTTTATCTCAATTTTTAAAAAAGGAAAAAGACCACCTAAAGTGGTTCATATATTTTTTTCAATTGGATCACCTATCAAAGTTTCATTTCTCCAATCTTATTTTTTAAAAGAACAAGATCACCCAAGGCAATTCTTATATCTTTTTTTGATCGATCACTTGTTAAAGTTTTGTTTCTTTGATCTTTTTTTTTAGAGAAAAAGATTAACTAAATCCGTTCATTTATCTTTTTCGATTGGATCATCTATCAAATGTTTCTTCAATCTCATTTGAAAATAATTTTCCTTTTTAGGAAAGGCCACTCTTCATAACAAGACCATCACATTTTACTTTTTCGAGCGGGATGTCTTTCACAATAATGCTATCATATTTTACGTTCGGGACGGACCATCCTTCACAACAAGGCCATTGTATTTTACTTTTCAAGATAGGCCACCCTTCACAACAAAGCCATCATATTTTACTTTTCAAGACAAGCCATCCTTCACAATAAGGCCATCTCATTTTACTTTTTAGGTAGGCTATCCTTCACAATAAGATCATCATATTTTATTTTTTAAAATAGGTCATCCTTCACAATAAGACAATCGCATTCTACTTTTTAGGATAGGTCGCCCTTCATAATAAGACAATTGCATTTTACTTTTCGGGGTATGCCGCCCTTCACAATAAGGCCATCATATTTTACTTGTCAAGACAAGTTGTCTTTTATAACAAGATCATCGCATTTTACTTTGAGGGCGGATCGCTCTCTATAACAAGGTCATCGCATTCTATTTGTGAAGGTAGGTCATCCTTCACAATAAAGCCGTCATATTCTACTTTTTAGGGTAGGTTGTCTTTCATAAATAAGACAATCGTATTTTACTTTTTCAAGATGGATCACCTACGTTATTCGGACTATTTTTTCCACTTGATTTTTTTTTTAGAAACCCACTAAGCAAATCCAATCGAAGTTCACACTTAAGTTCACATTTACATCATAAGTATTATAAAAAGGAAGTAACTCGTCACAAACCAAAGATTGGATTGTAATTATTTTTTAGTATTTTTTTCATTGAATTTATTCCTTTTGTTTATATTTTATTTTATCTTATTTTTCATATTTATTTTAGTTAATTTAATAATTTTTAAGTCTTATCTTTTATTTTTATAAGAAAAAAGAAAATAAAAAAGGAAAATAAAAAATTAATTAGGGTGCATAATCAATCATTTTTTTAAAAAAGAAGGAAATGAAAATGCAAAAATATATAAAAACAAAAAGAATACGAAAAAAATTTGTGTGAAATAATTAATTAGGGATATAATTGAAGAAAATTAGGATCTGAAATTGAATAAAATCATATTTGAATTTGAAAACCAATAGGAGTACAATTGAATTGAAAATCATGGGTGTAATTATGAAAGATTAAAATATACAAGGACTCAAATGAAATTAAGGAAGAATGATAGGACCACAACCAACTAGATGACCTATCATTCAGGTGCAATGTAAATTCAATTCCTAGGTTGAAAATTATGAAAAAGGAGAAGCGAGAAAGAAAAAGAGAAAGAAACCGAAGGGAAAAGAAAAGAAAAGAAAAAAGGCCTGGAGAGAAAAATGAGTAAAGGAAATAAACATGGCTCGGGCTAGAGAGGAAGGAAAGGAAAAGAGAAGTCGGGTAAGAGTCAGGTCGAGAAAAAGAAGAAGGAAAGTTCCCACCGGGCCCATCCTGGATCATTGAATATTTAAACGAAATACAATAATTTCATTCATATTTTAAAAGAGTGTAGTCATTTTCATTGAAATTTCAAATGATGCGGTCATTTTAAAAGTTTTACCAAGAAGCTTTTATAGTTCAAGTGTCTAATTTAGGATCGGTTTTATTCTTTTAGTCCCTAATAATAACCGATCATTCGATTAGTTAGGAAAGAAGAGAAACTACCTATTATCAAAGGATGGAATGCGTCCTGCTAAAGCAATTGAAAGTCTTTTCAAAGTCCATGCAAGCGGTCAAGGTTACTTGCTCCTTTCAAAGTTACTATAAATTTTATAGTAACTCTATAAATTTTCAAAATTTTCTATAACATAAGGAGGCTTTGAAAGCAAAAGCTATTGTTTTTTTCCTGTCAAAAAAATAATATAAATACAATTTATAACATTATGTTATTCCTACCAAATATAATCAATCCATTAATAATCTTTTATTTTGGTTTGTGTCCACAATTAGTCTAGCTTCTACTAACATCTATAATCATTAACAATAGTTGTATTGCACATTTTTTTAGTCAAAGTAGTAGAGAATTAAGGCTAGCCATGAGGGATACTTGGAAAAAAATTATTGCTACTCGTTTTTTAGGCTAGCTCTCGGTTGAGGGTCGCTTCGAGTGGTTGTATGGTATATGGCTTGCTAGGTTGCTTAGGCGAGAGGTTGTAGGGTTGTCTTGACGAGTTGTGTTGTATGCTTGTAGGGGGCTGTTTGAGGCTATACTATGGGCTCTATGGGGGCTATGTTGTAGGCTATAAAGGTTTGTTTTAGGTGAGCTACAAAGTGAGGTACTCGTGTCTTCGACTGTAGGAGGTCGCTTAGGGCGAGCTACAAAGTGAGACGTTGTGTTGTGGGCTATAAGGGGATCCTTTGGGCGAGCTATGAAGTGAGGCTTGTGTTGTAAGCCATAAAAGGCTACTTAGGGTGAGTTGCGAAGTAAGAAGTTGTGTTGTGGGCTATAAGAGGCTACTTGGGGTGAGCTGGCTTGTGTTGTCGCTTGCATGCTCGCGAGGAGGAAAAGGCTTAAGGAGAAGTACGTGCGCTACTACAAAGTGCTTAGGTGAGGCTTATTAGAGGCTTGCACCGGCCAATGAGAGAGGCATGTGAGGCTTTCCGCTAAGCGTGTAGCTTTGTTGCATTGCGAACAATGGTTGTCGGTGAGAGTGAGGGAGGCTTTCAAGCATACGAGTTGGAGCCGGTTCGGGTTGGCTTGTGGGAGGAGTTTCGAATTACTAGAAGGTTTGTGAGAGGGTTGTTAGAAAGGCTATGAGGGTTATGGGAGGGCTACTATGGAAGTCGTGAGGGTTGTGAGGGGACCGCAAGGAGAGTTATGGGTGAAAGATGAACCATGTAGGGTATAAAAATGAGTGAGAGGGTCTTTTTATAGGTAGTTATTTAGGTTTCTTTTCGTAAAAATCCAATTTGGTCCTTGGTTTCATATAATTCTTCAATTTAAATCTAATTTTAATTATTTGTTTTAATGAGACCCCCGAATCTCAATTAATTTAGAATTTTTTATTCTTCCAATTATGCCCTTTCTTTATTTTAGTTAAATGACAGAAATTTTGAATTTTTTTAATTGGATCCTCAATTGCCTTTTTCTTTATTTTCAAACTTTATATTTTTTAATTAGCACCCTATCTAGAATTAATCTAAGCTAAATATTTTAATTTATTTATTTATTACTTTTTTCTCTTTTTTTATACTTGGAATTTTTTTTTGTTTATCATATTTTTTTTGGTATTTTTGTAATAAAAATAATTAGAGCAAAAATTAGGTGTTAACAGATTGTCCCCTCTTTATAATGCGTACAATGTAAAGTTATTGAAATGTTTTTCTTTGGCATTGCATGGTAAGCTTATAAAAAAAAATTGAAAGGACATGACTAACCTTATTGATTTGGAATTTTAAAAGGCCTAACTGACCATGTTGATTTGAAAACATGTGATCGCCCATATTGATTTGAAATTTGAAAAGACGTTATCGGCCATGTCCATTTGAAAGGACATGAATTACCATGTCGATTTGAAATTTGAAAAAATTTGATCGACCAAGTTAATTTGGAAAGATGCGACCGATCGTACCGATTTGAAATTTTGAAAGACATAATCGACTATGTCGATTTGAAAGGACTCGACTGGTCGTGTCGATTTGAAATTTGAAAAACTATTACTAGTCATGTTGTTTTTTTTTTTTTGGAAGCACATAAAGACGTGTTGATTTGAGGGGACATGATTGACTATGTCGACTTAAAGTGGTATGACTAACCATGTCAATTTAAAAGAAATGTGGCTGATCACACCGATTTAGAAGGATATGAGTGACCCTATCAATTTAAAAGGAAGGTCACTAACCATGTTTATTTGAAGGGGTGTCACCAACCACGTTGACTTAGGAGAACATAACCGACCATATATATTTAAAACGAATGTGATCGGCCACATTGATTGAAGGAGTGCAACTCACCATACCGACTTAGAAGGGAATGATGTGAATGGCTAGCCGATTTGGAATTTAGAAGGACGTGACTAGTTGTGTCATTTCTTTTTTATTTTTTAGGACATAGTGACCAAATTAATTTTTTAGAAGGATGTGACTTGTCGTGTTGATTTTTTTTTCAAAGGACATGACTAATCATGTTGATTTAGAAGGACGTGATTGGCCATGTTGATTTTGAATATCATAACACACCATGTTTTTTCATAAGATATGACTCGTCTATTTTGACTTAGATTAACGTGAAATTTTTAAAGAAGCATAGGTCATCACTACCAAGACATAAGTTTTCTCTCCTTTTGTCTTCATTTAGTTATCATCTAGTTTGAATAGGTTTAAAGTTCTAAGCTAGTTGTTTTCATTGAGCTTGTCCGTTAGTATTTCGATTATGCCTCCAGTTCTTGTATTCATTAGGATGGCTACTTGGACTACTATCTATGTCATTTGAATGGTACTCGCTCCTTTGATTGAATGAAGGATCACTATTCTTTTGTAATGCCTCTAAATGTTTGAACTTTTGCCAGCACATATCAAAACTCTAGCCTTAAAAATGGTTGAGGTGGCCTTTTATCAACTCGTCTATATTTTTGTATTAGGAAACTTATAACGATTTCATCGAAGTTGACCTCTTGTAGACCACATCCATGTAAGATCCTTATCAAGTTATCATATATTGATTCAATGCATTATCACATTTCATGAATGACATCAATTATAGGATCGTGCATGGGACCGATAAAGAGTTTTTCTATTCGGGGATTGATTATACTTGTGAAAATAAGGGTTTTTTAAGAGACAAAAGATTGTGAATCACATCACATTAGGTGAGTCAAGAATAAAAGAAACAAAGTCAAATGATCACGTGGATGAATATTTAGCCATAACTCGGATTATCTCATTGTTGCTTTGGATATGAGAAAAGTTGAAATGCTTGGTCTTCTAGTGTAGACATAGTTTTGCTACCGAGTCTAAACTAGCATGTTTCTAAAACATTACTAGTGATTATTGATTTATCATCTACCATTCATTGTTGTTGCTCATGTTATTCATCTTTTTTCGATACTTGCACTTGATTATGTGAACTTATCTTTGAGAGATTTTTTTTGAATTTTTAAAAAATCATTTTCCTTTATTTTGACTTTCATGGATTAAGTTGTCTATTTGAAAGTGTTTCATCAAAGCAAGTTGAATTATTAAAAAAAAATCATTGAGATGTTCATAAGAAAGTAATCTCATTTGAAAGATAATTGACTTATTTGATTAAAATCCAAAATACATCGCACAATGTTGAGATGTAATTCTCATGGTGATCCATTTTGAGGCTATGATGAGCAAAATATGGTTGGATCATAAAAGTTCTGAAAAGGATTCATCTCTTTTGACAAGTGATTGACAAAAGTTTGGTCCTAGAGCATGATGTGCTTAAATGAATTTTAAGAACTAAAATAGTTTTTAAAGAAAGTTTGCCTCAAAATGGATGATTTTGCCTAGAAAAACTCAATTTATTTCTTTCTTACCTCCAATTACTTGATGAAAATTTATGATTCAATGTCATAAATGATGATTTGTAATGCACAAACAAGTCAAGTTTTATTCAAAAATATTTTTCTTCTTCTCGTTTAAAGCTAAAAATCATCAACATAAATAAGCCATCTTTGATCAACAAGGGTTTTCATAGGCACGTAATGAAGGCTAAGGCTTCGACTTATGAATAAAAGGATATGAAAGGCTCAAAAGGTGCTTAAGATTATAAAGATCTAGGATCATTTAATTTTTCATCGAGATCACTTTAGGCATGTCGCCTTGACTTTGTCATCTCGCTAGTTGATCTCATTTTCTAATCTTGGCTCTTCTTTCATGTTCCATTTTGTCATTTTTTTTTTTAGTTTTTGAATTTCTAACCCTAGTGTTTCTAACCCTTTCTAGTTTCAAATCATGAGAGGGATCACTTTATAGAGCAATCTCTTTTGTCTTAGTACTTTCACTTTTGTTTTTTCTTTTTTTTCCTAAATTCGTTGAAGGATTTTCTCGACAAGTTTTTGTTTTATGAAAAATTATCATTATTTCTCATCTTTTTTTTTTTTTGGAGAATGTCCTTGATTACTAATGAACTTTAAAATTATCCCGAGAATAAGGGGTGATCCTAGTCTAGATCATCATTGAAAGAAATACCTTTGGCTCAAAGTTGGACAACAAGGGATAAGCTTTTTTTTTATGGAAAAATATACCAAAAATGACCTTTCTTCATCTCATATATGATCTTGTTCAAGCTGATATGTTCTAGCTTCATTTGAAAACTATGATTGACTTCTAAAGAAGTGATGGATAAAATGGATTCATGACTCGAATGTATATCATTCATCATCATTTAAGACATCAAACAAATTTATTTGGATTTTATTTTTTTTGGTTTTTTTAGGTATCAAGGTATCGTCTTATGTGAGACTATCTTGGAAGGATTTATCAAGAATAAAAGAAGAATGCTTTTTGTTTCAAAAAGCGAGGGACTACCCCTTAGCATTTGTATGACATGTTTTAAAAGTTGATCAACATTGAATGATTTTAAATGAGTTTGCTATTTTATTCACTTTGATTTGGATGATATAAAATGATAATGGTACCTTCAAATAGACATCTCTTGATTTCAAATCGATAATAAAATCAAGCTAAGATAATAGGAATTTTTTAAAAGAAATGACCCAGGTGCATGAAAATCATAACACTTTTGCAAATAAAATCTAAATATTCTATAAAAGGTAAGATTTCATTCATAAAATCAAGATACATTCATGCTTCTCTAATGAGCGTCAAGTATTCTCCCTCCATTCATTCTTATGCACATTATAATTAAAGTTAAGTCTGGTCTCTTTTTTTTTTTAGCATAATCACTTGGTGTTTTTGTTTTTAAGATAAGATCATATTGAATGGTCCAAAGATAGGTCAAAATGAGAATAAAATACAATAGAAAAAAGAAGACAAAAATGATAGTTTGAGAAGAAAATTACACGATCTAGTAAATTAACATCATATGAAAGCATAATAGATAAATGTGATAAGAAAATTACCTTGTCTTGAAGATAAAAAGCACTTCTTCATCGGACCAGTCATTCAATTCCATTCCCTAGATGATCTCATAGACAAGCCGATCTACATCAAAGACATCCTTTAGTGAGTCGACATAAAGCAAGCATCATTTATGGACTATTAAGCACTAAGCCAAACTCGTATGGCTTCATTCTTAGTATCTACTTTCTCTACTCTCAAAATATTCACTAGCATAGCATGAGATGGTTGGCTTAAACTCAGGTTTTTGCTACATAAATTAGTAATGTATGAAGACTTCTATGATTTCTTTTCCTCTCTTTCTACCCTCAAGATGCCCAGAGCTAGTATGGTTTGTACCTCATGATGAAATTCATGACAATCGTCAATATCATGTCCACTCTCTTTGTGGAACTTTTAGAAAGACTCTGCATGAGTAGAAACTTGAGACTTGATTGGTTTTTTTATTAATATTGACTATAGATAATATGTCAAACAAACGAGACGAGAAAATTTAAGAACCATCTTTTTCTTATCACACCTTATGTTATGCAAAGAAAACTTATTCAATCTACTAACAATTATATGGTTAGAAAGATAGTCGGTGTTCATATTTAAAGTGTTTAAAGCATCATCAAGTGAAATCAAACCTTGGTCAATCAATGAACGAACATGCTCCTCGAAGCCTAGATAATCTACGATATTATGATGAATTATCTCAACTTGATACTT